AAATTGCATTGCTCCAGTGCACCGCTTGCTGACATCCACAATTATGTTTACACTAGTCCTCAAAGACTTCTCATTTATGATAAGCACATCTTTCTCTCCCTTAAATAATCACTAAATTACAATATTAATTTGCTAATGAACAAGCCCTGAATATATATTTATGTATAAATAATTATCTTGGAATTTGAGATACCAAACTTAGACATTTTATTTAAATTACTACAATATTGTGCATAATTTTGACCCTATGAATTACGCACAAACGTAAAATTATATTAAAAACAATTTTTTTATGATACGAAAATCCCTTCATGCACTGCTGTATCAAAACTTACGTGTAACTTTGTACTTATTAGGATCACAGTAACAGAACTAGGATTGTACCATGTGGTGTGTGGCAGGGTAATGCACCTACATGGAGAGAGTAACAGTCAAAAGCCTATTAAAACTGATTCTTTGAAATAATTGGCTCTTAAATGTGCTGCCAAATTCAAACACCAATTTTGAATATGTCACTACAAGTAAATCATTCTTTCAGATTGTATAAAAGTGAAAGTAAAATAGAAACACAAATCGTGAAAAGCAATTGCCATTAGAAATTCCTATCTGTGATGTCCACTGTCAATATATTACGACAGCGTAATTAGTATATTCCTTCAATAGTCAGTTTCTATAAAATACTTAAAATTTCAAAATAAATTCCTTTCACAGAGATAGAAGAATGGTTCAAATTAGAATGATCTAAAATTTTAGAAAAGCATTTTAATGACAACTGTGGCTTCAGTTTCAAAAAGAGAAAATTCTTTCAGAATTTCATTTTATCAACTTTCAACAAATTACATTCAATCATTCACATTTATTAATGATTGTTCACATGTGTCCATATGTGCACAGCTGTACTAAAATACTATTGGTTCTATTTCATTAGATTCCATACACACAGATATATTAAGCAAATATATTCAAATCAAAATAATCCTTGTGACTTATGAAATATTTATTTCAGCCATTATATAGTAATTATCAAATGAAATCTGCAAGTATAAACACAAGAATGAACTTGATTGGAATTGTGATTTTGATTTTAAGCTGCAGTAGTACTGACCAGATATTAAGTTTTCGTTGTTAAAATTCCAAATTGCACGTTTCTGATTACTGCGAACAAGCTGATCCCCTGATAATATTAAAATAACAAAGTACGCTATACTAGAAATATTTACCGTCTTTCCTTCAATATATGAAAGTTACCCAGAAATAATGCACTTTGTTCTGTCAGAATTTACATTAGAAATATGTAAATTTCAGTGCTACAAGTGCATTTAGGTGCAGAATTTTGAGGCATTCCTACAGACGGCACATGTTCAGCGAGTCATTAAATCTGCTGTACAAAGTTTGAGAATGACAATGCAATTAGGGAGGAGAGGACATGGCAATATAACCAGGATACAGTCTGGTACTAGTAAGGTAGATACGACCTTGCTTCTTGTTGGCGTAGGGATATAGCAGTGTATAGGGACTATGGAAAAAATAAACAATTATATATATATATACATATATATATATAAACACACAATTGCATTATATACGCATGTCACATTTTTGGAGTATATATTTCTGAGAAAAAATGTAGTGTATTACTTTCTGGGCAACTGACATAACTGGTCTTAATAAATACAATTAATGACTTTTCATTTTGTGTAAATTTTAGTTTGAAATCAAATTTCCCACAAACGGAACAACTGAACAGTAGGGCATATTTGAAGCATAGAAACTCTCACCCATGTAAAAAGACTATATATGGAATAAATCCTGTTTATTCTACATTGACAAATTTAAAGAAGATAAAAAAGGGTATGAGTGTAGTATTCACGTATTAGTTTCCAAATAACCAGTTTATTTACACAATTTTCAATTGTTTAAGACATACAAGTATGAAGGATGTTGCAAGGTAATAATTAGATCAGCAAATTCTGTATTTGCCATAAGAATGCCACCAAGAGGTGCTGTGTCACAGTGTGGCAAATCATTCATACTCTGCACAACTATATTACATTCGAGTAGCATTACAAATAAACAAACCAGCCAATTTGCTATGACGGTACTTATATAAACACATTTCATGTACCCCCTGAGCCAAGTGGAGAAAATGAGAACTTCTAATATTTTATAACAGTAGCTTTACGGCCACACCAACCATCACCTGTACCCTTCACCCCCAAAATTCTGAAAAAACATTCAACTTTGAGCAATTTCCTTGTGTTAAAGTTGGCATCTTTGGGTCTTTAGTTACAAATCAAATAAAAATAAGAACTCAAAAATGCAAACTTATCTTATTTAGCATCACTCCAAGCTGAACATTTTCAGATGCACAATAATATAAACAAATAGACAATAGGTTTTCTTACCACTACTATATACAATAATATGGATGCATCTAGCGATGCAAAATAATATGAACCAGATAAGACTGTAATTTCTCTATAACTATGCTAATTGTATGGTGACTGCTAAGTAAATGCTTTCAAGCCACAAGTTTAAGTTATATTAAATTAAGCTTCACAGGTTAACATGATTTAGAGATTAAGTTCTCTCAACAAAAGCTGATCCAAAATTTTGTAATACATTTCTCAATATTACATTACTAAGACTTTGCTGTGAATTCATATAAATTTTAAATACCCTTTCTATTTTTCTGTATTTAGTTCTTTTTACTCACTCATGTAGACAAATCTGCAACATAATCTACCATCCCACTTTTCGGGCTATATTTCCCAAACCCAGCGCAACATTAAATGACACTAAAACAGATTATGCAACTTAAAAAGTTTAAGAATTGTTTATAATTTTATCTCACTGAAGTAAATACAAGATGGATCAAGAGAATGGAGTTGACTTCTTTACTGCAATTACAAGTATTGCTTATTACATTTCTCTTAGTCTTGTCAAGCAAATACAGCTACTTCCACTAAAATCCTTTGCTGAATCGTGATTTACAGTCACTTAATGGCTAAGCATAACAGCAAATACGTAGGATGTAAAATTATAAATACAGCAGTTATTGTTTCTTGGCACTACAACCCTGTTGTGGGTTTTCGCCGCCTCCTTTTATGAGGTTTCTTGGTCTTGGTCGTGCGTGAAGCAGTGAGTGACCAGCCCAATGACTGCACAATTTCTACTCAATCCTGATTTGACTGCCAGAGCCATCTAGCAGTTAATCAAGAGACTTTTGGGTGAGAAGTGGCCGCTGAATTTTGCTTACGAAACATCTCATAATAGATACAGCAGTATCCAAAAAATATGAAAGTGCAGAACAACTGAAGTCTCCATACCCTTGCCACTACGTACAACATATATTTAGCCATTATCTGTTAATAAATTAGACCAATGGCATGTGCACAATTTTGTGCGACTGACAAAATTAATTGCTGCTATGCAAATGAAGATGACTGGGAAAGTAAAATACTATATAGTACAGTAATACAGGTTATGTAATTACAAGTCACCATCAGTATGTCCAACATGTAGGTGCAAATTTACATCAGAATGAGAGCCTACTTAAAATCTTTTGAACTGAGTTTCTTCTTCACTTCTACATGGTCTTTATGCTGTGGAGATAATTTATCTCATAACACAACATCAAGAATTATATGTATTTTGAATATATAATTTGTTTCAAGAATAAGTTCCAATACTGTGAATGCCAGATCACATTCACCAGTGTCTCTTTTGTATCAGGATTATATTAAACACAGCCTTGGAAAATTAACCACGTGGGAAACCAATTAACCTTTCACTTGACGTCAAGTTTAAGAAATAATTTGACTTATAAAATTAAATAACAATTCAACATAAGCAAGATAGTCTTTGATTTTTATAGAGGTCACAACTTGCCACACTGAAATTTATTATTTAATAAAATGTTCAAGTTTTGGTATAGTGGCATCTGCTTTCAACAATATTATATTGCTGTACTGTTGTAACAGGTAAAATATGCTTTCAAAATGTACTGCTTTGTACCATGTGTGAAGGGACTGAAAACTAAGGAATAAACACATATTTGCAAAAATTCATGACTATTAAGTTTTTATTTTAATCTCTTTTTGCCATATTAATATTAGGCCCCCAAACAAACAAAAAATTGCACTCTACACGACATACCTTCAACTGACAACATACAGGGAATCAGGATAAAATGATTTTGTTATGAAAACTAATTCTATATCAACCCTTTAAAGCACAGTAGTGATAACTATATGTACCGCTTGCTTTAACATTCAATAACCTTGCATTTTGCTCATAGAGTGTAATTAAGAGTTTCATACAATTCTGAGAATAAACAGCGATTATTTCCATAAACCCTCACTTAATAGTATCTGCACCTTGTCGTGGTGGAGGGGCTTGAGTACCTCAGTGACCCGAAGAGCTACTGGTAGGGCCTCCCTAGCCAGATTGGTCAAGGGGGAGAGGTCAGACTAAGACAGGTACCCTGGTCCTCCAGGTTGCAGGTTAGTCGCAAGGCTAACAACTTTGCACCGTAAAAAGGAAGATGTTTCGAAACCTCAAAGCCTCGGACAGACGGACCTAACAGAGGACCGAATGGAAGAGGAGAATTGAGGATGCCATGGACTGAATACGGACCAGAGAGCCATAGAAGAAGAAGTATTTCCCTAAACATTATCTTTATTTTTATATTTGTAATGGACACAAATTGTTTTCTCTTTGAGGTAGCAACTGAATTTTTAAATATTATTTAGTGGGTTTTGTGCTTCAAGGGGTTAATATAGGAAATATTACAAAAATTAACCACGCAATGCAAAAGTCTGAAGTGAACTTGTTTGAAGAAATATGACACTGGAGTTCAGAGCTTCTCAAACTATGCAGTAATCATGAACCTTGGAAGTTTCATCTTATCAAAACATTACTTACTACCTACAGAATGACCTAACCTAACATAACATAACCTAACCTAATATACCACATAATATACAATACACTAATAGTACCAGAATGTAAAAATATATTTGTCTTCACTATTCTGCTTATGCTAAAACTTACATTTATAACACAAGATTCCTAAGTTATTATTAATCAAAATACATGCCAGGTTTAAAAACATATAAACTGAACTGAAATGAATTTACCGAGTTGTTTATACAGTATATGATCCTACTGCCTGTGAGAACATCTGGTAGCATATAAAGAAACTATAGAAAAATAGTTTGAGAAGCACTGATGGGCTACGGGTACAAATTCACCCCTGCTGTACATCACACGTTCATAATACTGAAACTGAAGCCTACGACGTGTGCGCAGCTTACCGTTTTCTGTCCAAACCCTTCAGCACTTCCATTAACAAGAATCATACAATTTCATAAACTATTCCTTTCAAAACCAGACGTAATGCTCATATCATAAGAAAAACAGATAAAGTTCAAGTAAGAAAAGTCATATTCAAGGATAAATTAAATATGTAACATTATAATGTCTAATAAATATTATTAGAACTTCAAGAAAAAATATGCAATACTGAAGAGGAACAAAACAATATTTGAGGAGTGGGGCCTCAGCTATGCCTATATAAAAATTATTCTAGAAACCAAAGATTAAATTATTAAAAAAAATCATTCCTACTACCTATTCCACATCTAGAGACCAAACTCTACTTCCTAGAGACTAAATCTCTTGTACATACTCTTTAGAAAGGTAGGATCGGAAAAGATGATAAGGCACGCGTTCTTCATGACGCAATGTACGCGTTGGTTTGAAGAACTCGGAACTATTCTGAAATACTGCTGTGAATTCCGAGTTGACTTTGTAACCATCGCACAATCCCGACATGTTCAGTACCTTAATTATATCTCTGTTCTCTACTGTTTGTAATGGCACCAATATTGAACATTCACACAGAATCAATTCTATCAACTTTGCATTCAAGTGTTTCATCTAGTTTCAACGTGTCACAACTTTTCTAGAAATGTGTGAAATTTTCTATACTTTTATTCCATTAAGACTAGAAAAAAGAAAACCTTGATATTAACCCAATCAAATCCAATAAAAACAAACAAATGATTTCATGCACTTGAAGTCTGGCCTGGAAGAATATTTAGAATAACTCTGGAATTACATTATTATTTAAACATAGATTTGAAATTTTCTTTTCACTATTGGAAGATAAATACTTTGTATCCACCCGACTTACAGAGCTGCAGTGTATATAGACTGAGGCTTGTACTGAGTTAATAAATGTCAGATTTACTGTTCAGTGAAATGGCAATCATTACTTGGAACCATTTTCCTTTTTGAAAAATCACATGTTAATGTTTTATTTGTAAATGTAATCTGCATCAGTTACTGCCTCATAATGTTTGGGCGTAAATACACGTGCTATTATTTTAATTGTATAGGAATATTAATAATTTGATGGCTCCTAGAGAATTAGGATGAATCATGAACTAGATTGTATCATACAGGGAGCAGATATTGTGAGGCTGATCAAAAGCAAAAGGTTAGCCTGGCTTGGCCACATTGCAAGAATGAAAGGAAACAGAAAAGTGATGGAATGGAGACCGATGGGAAGAAGAATGAGAGGGAAGACCACGGAAACGATGGATAGATGACAAGGAGGATGATGTGAGGATGATCGGAGTGAGGGGATGGAGAAGAATTGTGAATGATAGGACAGAATGGAAAAAACTCGTCGAACAAGCCAAGACCCACATAGGGTTATAACGCTACAAGAAGAAGAAGAATATTATTATCTGAATAACACAGTATATGTCTGTGTCAGCTAGAAAAAACATAATTAATTTTCACAATACAAATCTATATTAGTCTTCAATCCAGTGTATTTCAAAATGTGCAACGATATTTGAAAATTTTTAAAATATTTATATTCTTGTCACGGTGTGAATTTTGTCTTTTTAGGTGTGTACGTTGGGATGGATTTACAGGATGCATAAAATGTCCTGGGCTTCATAAATATTGGTAATGAACTGAAAATCAACTGGAAATTTCTATTGTATAAATATCTGAATTGAACGTACATGGAGTAAATCTATGTCCCCTTCACCTTCAAAATTTTTTTTAATTTATAAACTTAAATGAAGTTCTGAAAGGAGAGCATGTCACTGTGTTCCTCAATTCCCTCCCTGCACAGTAATACATCACAAACACTGCCAACCTAATATTCTAATGCAAATAATTAATCAACTACGGCAAAGACCAACGATGCCTGTTCAAATTGATTCTCATACTATTGTAATACCTGCAATGATCCCACTTGTATGGAGTGGAAAGTTCTTCCAAAATGTTATATCATTTTCATCTTTGTCAGAATATCTAATCTCGGAATAAAACAAATTATTTTGGGAGACATCTGATAATACAGACTGAGAACTCGGGAATAAAGCGAGCATATTCTGTCAAGACCCGGTCAAATCTTGTTTAAAATAAACCATTATGAAGGAAGAAAACTAAATGATAAGTCTTACAACTAACAAATTGATTAAAACTATAAAAAGCTTGCCACCAGCTGTCCTTCCAATACAATAATAACAACACAGATATCATTACAAGTTTCATGCCATATGAAGTTTAATGCTAAGCAACATGGCACAATAAGATTAAGTACGTTGATGGACTCAACAGTCACCTGAAACAGGGGAACAAATACGTATTACTTTCACATAAGATGATGAAAAACATACTGTTAAAAAAGTGCAACACATGTTTCACTCTATGAATTCTCTATAAATTTACTGAGGTATCAAGGTTGGTGGTCCAGTGGTTAGTATCCATCTTTAATATTCGAATAATTTTCAGTTCGATTCGAACCAACAAAATATAAGTATCAGAACAATGACATTATCATTGTTAAAATGTACCACGGAAAATTAAAAGTTAATGGTGATAACAAGCCACTAAACACTGTATGAGCCAGCTGAAACCAGTTCAACACTTTGTACCACAGTTCTTAATATTCCATTTTAATATTATCCTCCCATCTATGTCCATGTGTTATAATGCTATAAAATCACACCTGGTCTGAAACCTACAAACAGATATTGCACACTCATTCCTTAAACATTTAGATTACATGCATTCCCATAATTTGTTTTAATATTCTAAATATTTAACATAACCTTAAAACTTTGCATACCGTGTAGTGTATTAGAATATACAATAAGTAAACAAACAACTATTAACACTATAAAAAGACACTATTGCCATACGCGTTTCAACCTCAAGATGTCATCATCAGTGACATCAAGGAAATTAATTCATTTAATCAAATGGTTTAAACTGGATTGAGAAAATAAATAGTGAATAGGGTATCATTTGAAATACTTTTGTTAAATTATTTATTTTATATTTAACGTAATGTCAGTATGTAAATCTCCTTATCAGATAAAGGACACAACAAACCTGTATGAGGTTTTACTGCTGGGTGTTGTCTCCCTTGGTCAAACTGCACAGCCTTTCCTGGAGCCATACAGCACCTTCAGTTCAGGGAATATCACTTTCCTTATGAGTGCATTGGTTTTCCCGGCCAACATGGCCCTCTGTGGATCCTTCTTCATTGTCTTGATACCTGGTTTGTGCACTAGGAATGCGTTGTCCAAAATTTGGAACTCATAATCCAGCACACACAGTGCATAGCCCTAAAGAAACCAACAGACATATGAGCATAATTTGATATTGGTGCATTCTGTTACGTTTTTAATGCACAACATATAGCATTAACACTGTCTGCACAACTTTATCATACTTTGATGATATAGGTTGCGCGACTAGTTGTGGCACCTAAATGCGCGATGTGTAAGCCGAGAGAGGGGAGTTCAGGAGTAGTGGGGGTCGCACAGCCTCAGCTGCGGTGACTTTTATTCCATTAAGACTAGAAAAAAGAAAACCTTGATATTAACCCAATCAAATCCAATAAAAACAAACAAATGATTTCATGCACTTGAAGTCTGGCCTGGAAGAATATTTAGAATAACTCTGGAATTACATTATTATTTAAACATAGATTTGAAATTTTCTTTTCACTATTGGAAGATAAATACTTTGTATCCACCCGACTTACAGAGCTGCAGTGTATATAGACTGAGGCTTGTACTGAGTTAATAAATGTCAGATTTACTGTTCAGTGAAATGGCAATCATTACTTGGAACCATTTTCCTTTTTGAAAAATCACATGTTAATGTTTTATTTGTAAATGTAATCTGCATCAGTTACTGCCTCATAATGTTTGGGCGTAAATACACGTGCTATTATTTTAATTGTATAGGAATATTAATAATTTGATGGCTCCTAGAGAATTAGGATGAATCATGAACTAGATTGTATCATACAGGGAGCAGATATTGTGAGGCTGATCAAAAGCAAAAGGTTAGCCTGGCTTGGCCACATTGCAAGAATGAAAGGAAACAGAAAAGTGATGGAATGGAGACCGATGGGAAGAAGAATGAGAGGGAAGACCACGGAAACGATGGATAGATGACAAGGAGGATGATGTGAGGATGATCGGAGTGAGGGGATGGAGAAGAATTGTGAATGATAGGACAGAATGGAAAAAACTCGTCGAACAAGCCAAGACCCACATAGGGTTATAACGCTACAAGAAGAAGAAGAATATTATTATCTGAATAACACAGTATATGTCTGTGTCAGCTAGAAAAAACATAATTAATTTTCACAATACAAATCTATATTAGTCTTCAATCCAGTGTATTTCAAAATGTGCAACGATATTTGAAAATTTTTAAAATATTTATATTCTTGTCACGGTGTGAATTTTGTCTTTTTAGGTGTGTACGTTGGGATGGATTTACAGGATGCATAAAATGTCCTGGGCTTCATAAATATTGGTAATGAACTGAAAATCAACTGGAAATTTCTATTGTATAAATATCTGAATTGAACGTACATGGAGTAAATCTATGTCCCCTTCACCTTCAAAATTTTTTTTAATTTATAAACTTAAATGAAGTTCTGAAAGGAGAGCATGTCACTGTGTTCCTCAATTCCCTCCCTGCACAGTAATACATCACAAACACTGCCAACCTAATATTCTAATGCAAATAATTAATCAACTACGGCAAAGACCAACGATGCCTGTTCAAATTGATTCTCATACTATTGTAATACCTGCAATGATCCCACTTGTATGGAGTGGAAAGTTCTTCCAAAATGTTATATCATTTTCATCTTTGTCAGAATATCTAATCTCGGAATAAAACAAATTATTTTGGGAGACATCTGATAATACAGACTGAGAACTCGGGAATAAAGCGAGCATATTCTGTCAAGACCCGGTCAAATCTTGTTTAAAATAAACCATTATGAAGGAAGAAAACTAAATGATAAGTCTTACAACTAACAAATTGATTAAAACTATAAAAAGCTTGCCACCAGCTGTCCTTCCAATACAATAATAACAACACAGATATCATTACAAGTTTCATGCCATATGAAGTTTAATGCTAAGCAACATGGCACAATAAGATTAAGTACGTTGATGGACTCAACAGTCACCTGAAACAGGGGAACAAATACGTATTACTTTCACATAAGATGATGAAAAACATACTGTTAAAAAAGTGCAACACATGTTTCACTCTATGAATTCTCTATAAATTTACTGAGGTATCAAGGTTGGTGGTCCAGTGGTTAGTATCCATCTTTAATATTCGAATAATTTTCAGTTCGATTCGAACCAACAAAATATAAGTATCAGAACAATGACATTATCATTGTTAAAATGTACCACGGAAAATTAAAAGTTAATGGTGATAACAAGCCACTAAACACTGTATGAGCCAGCTGAAACCAGTTCAACACTTTGTACCACAGTTCTTAATATTCCATTTTAATATTATCCTCCCATCTATGTCCATGTGTTATAATGCTATAAAATCACACCTGGTCTGAAACCTACAAACAGATATTGCACACTCATTCCTTAAACATTTAGATTACATGCATTCCCATAATTTGTTTTAATATTCTAAATATTTAACATAACCTTAAAACTTTGCATACCGTGTAGTGTATTAGAATATACAATAAGTAAACAAACAACTATTAACACTATAAAAAGACACTATTGCCATACGCGTTTCAACCTCAAGATGTCATCATCAGTGACATCAAGGAAATTAATTCATTTAATCAAATGGTTTAAACTGGATTGAGAAAATAAATAGTGAATAGGGTATCATTTGAAATACTTTTGTTAAATTATTTATTTTATATTTAACGTAATGTCAGTATGTAAATCTCCTTATCAGATAAAGGACACAACAAACCTGTATGAGGTTTTACTGCTGGGTGTTGTCTCCCTTGGTCAAACTGCACAGCCTTTCCTGGAGCCATACAGCACCTTCAGTTCAGGGAATATCACTTTCCTTATGAGTGCATTGGTTTTCCCGGCCAACATGGCCCTCTGTGGATCCTTCTTCATTGTCTTGATACCTGGTTTGTGCACTAGGAATGCGTTGTCCAAAATTTGGAACTCATAATCCAGCACACACAGTGCATAGCCCTAAAGAAACCAACAGACATATGAGCATAATTTGATATTGGTGCATTCTGTTACGTTTTTAATGCACAACATATAGCATTAACACTGTCTGCACAACTTTATCATACTTTGATGATATAGGTTGCGCGACTAGTTGTGGCACCTAAATGCGCGATGTGTAAGCCGAGAGAGGGGAGTTCAGTAGTAGTGGGGGTCGCACAGCCTTAGCTGCGGTGACGCACCGAACTAAACACAGCTAGAGCTACAAACCAACTGAACCTGACACCCCTCTAGCGCGTGCTAATGAACGAGTCCATCTCATACGACCAAAATCAGTTCTTTGAGCAAGTGCCAGCACTTCTCGCGCGACCTATATTATACGTTCCATTAGTAGTATAATTGCTTATAAACAGTAGTGTAGATCAGTAGTATTCAACCTTTTTTGTTCGTGTACCCCCAGATATAATTTCTCTTCAACTTTGTACCCCCAAAGTTGTTAGATGACTCTAAATGACAGCGTATGTGAACACAATCACCATGCTATTATTGTTTAATTTTCAGCAATAAATAATTTACAGGGTTTGAATATAACATAACCTATACAGCCTGATCTAGAACATTTTATTTCAAACATTTTTCAATATCATACACACTTAGCAAAATACAAAAAGAAATATTTTTGATTCTTCTAAGTACGTGCTTGTGCTGTGATTAGCTCTGTAACAATAGCAAGTGAGACTTCTCAGGTGCTCATTCTGTACACACAGAATTAATACGAACTCTATGATGACACAGCTGATGATCCAAGAAGACTTCAATGCATTAAATTATTGTCAAATATTAAAATATTATATTTGTAACAAAAAATCAGTATCTGCTACAAGATTCTTGTATCTTCAATAAACTAACCTCACTGCCAATGAGATATGCAAAATAAAAACAAATGCATTAAAAATACGCTACGTTTTCTACCACTCTTTATTAAAAGTGCTATTTAGCGCATTATACCAAAATATTTATACAACTATAGCTGCATGCAGACATCATTCTGTCTATCCACAAGCTGATTACAGTTTTATAGAAAATTTAGTGAGTGTAAAAGACTGGTATATAATATACCAGGTGATACAAAAAGGACTTTACAACTTTGAAAGTGTATAGAAATTTATTCAGAAGGCTTACAGAATCGGTTGAGGTGTCATTTTGTAGCAAAACAAATCAAGTTTGACTCACGTTGTGCTGTAGTACCGAATTCCGTCACCGCGAGCGCAAGCGGCAGTGCATTTGAAAATGGCTCGAAAATTTTCTCATACCACAGTTAGACGAAGATGACCAAAAAGGACGCATTCACTTCCAGCAAGACGGCGCACCACCTCACTACCTCACAGAAGTCCGGGATTTCCTCAATAACCGTTTCCCAGGTCGGTGGATTCGTCGAACAGGGTCGATAGCATGGCCACCTCGTTCTCCAGATTTGACACCTCTCGATTTTTTCTTATGGGGTTTCATTAAAGATCGTGTGTATGTTCCACCCTTACCTGCCAATCTCACTGAGCTCAAAGCTCGAATCACCGTCGCAGTTGCAGAAGTGACACCGGATATGCTGGATCGTGTTTGGCAAGAAATTGATTTCAGGTGGGATGTCTGCAGTATCACCAATGGCAATCACATCAAACCAAAATGACTGTTTGAGGTAAAACTTGATTTGTTTTTCTACAAAATGACACCTCAACCGATTCTGTAAGCCTTCTGAATAAATTCTATACACTTTCAAAGTTGTAGGTCCTTTTTGAATCACTCTGTATATACACAGATGAGAAAGAAAGGTGGTTTTGGTCTGAGCTGTGATGAGTAAGAAGCCATTACCTGTGTCATCTT